AGATCAGAACAAATAACTACGTAAATCAGAAAAACGAACCACCTATGACTGTGTGGGAAGGAAATAGCCAGAGGTTTCACAGTGACACAGGGGTTTGTTGTTGGGCATGTATGTATATGTATATGCATGTATATGTACAATATATATATGTATACATATGAATATATGTATGCGTATGTATGTATTTTTGGGCTGGGTCTTAAAAACTGAGCATTTTAGAAGAGCAAGGGGAATACCATTGTTACAAAGCATAAGAAGAAACGCTCTACTAAGACAATTTTAAAAGGCCAGGGTGCTCCTAATGTAAGATACCAAGCAAGGCAGGAGTATGGGAAGGAGGTAGTAAATGCAGCTAGCTCTCAGGACTAGCTGGGCTGTAATGAATACTGTGTTTTCTATGCAAAAGTATAATACCAAAAAAAAATTACTGGACAAATCACAATGAGCTATCACTTCACCCTTTACTAGAAAGGCTGTTTTCAAACAAAAAATAACAAGCATTGACAAGGACATGAGGAACCTGGAAACACAAAGAAGACAGAGGAAGAAAGCTTTACGAAGCAGAGATGGTAATCAACACTATGAAATATAAATAATAGGTATGAATTGTCGAATGGAAATCAATTTGCTCCATATACTTTCACTAAGTCACAGTAAAAACAAAACACCACCACCAAAACTCACAACAAACAAAAACTTTAAATATTATGGAAGTAATGAAGAGCCTTTAAGAATTCTAACAATTTGACCACTTAAAATGACTGGGTACAGTGAAAGACCGTACATTATCGAGTGCTGCTGAGTCAATTCCAACTCACAGCCACCCCACACAGGGAGACCGATTCTTAATGGGGTTTTCCAGCCTGTAATCTTGAAATGCAGGGCGTGACCAAGCCTTATCTTCTGAGGAGCAGCTGATTGGTCTCCTTTAGTAGTTAATGTTTAACCATAGTGCTATGGGGCTTCTCAATATTTAAGTGCACAAATATTTACTGATATATAGCATTAGAGTAAAAATTAGAAACAATTCTAATAAACATACAAATCAGGTTACATCATCTATATGCAGTGATTTCCACTCTCATTTGGCTAATTGGGCACATGGTTGGACCCACCAGCTGCTCTGCAGGAGAAGGGTGGACAGTCTCCTCCTGTGTGATTTACTGCCTCTGAAAACGCACTGGAAGGTGAGCTTTGGGTCAGTTCCAACTCAACAGTACATAACAACAACAACAAATTAATTAACAATATCTAAAGTTTAATGAACTTACTATGAACTGCAGGTTGTAACGCCTACTTTACATAAACCCATTTCTTATTTACAAATGTTTTATTCCAAAGACCAATGTGTCATAAGGAAATTAGCATTATGCAAAAATGGAAGATGATCAGATCATAAAATGGATAACTACATCATTAAATAATTGACAAATTACATTACTACATAACTGCCAAATTTAGGTCTTAAACCAAGTCTCCTAATGAAATTTTCTTTATGCCACATAAACCTACTTTTTCTCAATGGTGGGTCATTAGGAGTAAGAGGAAAGTAGTAACCCCCATAGTTTAAAACGTAAAAGAGAGAAAAGTTAAAAAAAATAACTCATTAAAGAAATTAATAAAATTACAATTAGCTTAAAAGGAAGTAAAATTCACCAAAATTAACTTACCCAAATTAACTTTTTCTTGACTTTTCACTGTTAGAATATCTGCAATTACATGTCGCATCTCTTCAATAGGCTTAATTTTGTTTTTAAATGAAGAAAACAAATTCATAAGTTTTATAGTCTTACACATTAACTAGGTTGTCCAAATTGAAAATACTAAAATCATAGTGATGAAGATTTTATTTTAAAAAAAGGCAGGAGTTATAGAAATGCTCAGAACATTTATTTTGCCAATTAAGACTGAAAAATGGCTGACTATCTTTTGCAATTTATTGAATAAATATGAACTTAAAAGAATTTCTTGAACCTTTGGTAACTATTACTGCTTGTTTACTCAGCACAAATAAAGAGTACAAAGAGCAAACGACCATTCTCAAAATCAAAGAACCAAAGTGACGACCATTCTCAAAATCAAAGAACCAAAAGTGCTGCCATCAAGTCAATCCCAACTCCAAGGGCAAAGCAGAGCTGCCCTAAGGGGCTTCCAACGCTGTCATCTTTCAATTGCCACATTTCTCCTGCACAGGGTTCAACCTCTTACCAGTCAAGCTGACTATTCCATCACTATGGATTACTAGTCATAACATCTACTGAGTATCACTTGGAGATCTCTGGTTGGCTAGTAGTCTGCAGTGAGTTGTGATGCTAATAGGAAGGCCTCACACCTCTCTGGTAGTTCAAACCCACCAGTGCGAGAGCCAGCTCACAACGTGCCAGGGTTCTTAGAAGAAGGGGAGTGAGATGGCAAATGAAAGAAAACTCAGCACGCAAGTTCCCCCCATGGGGGTCTCCAACACCAGGAGAGCTCAGGAGAAGGATGGGCAGTGTCATCCCTTGCTATTTATAGCCTTAGACATTCAATGAAGAATCAGGTACGAGTCAATTTTGATTTGACAAAAATTAATTTGGGTTGGTTTTTTCTTTTTCTTTTTTATTCCCCTAATTTTTTTCTTCATTTAGGTCAGTGGTTGTATTTTTGCTTCAGGTTCTCTTATGTACAACTCTGAGTAGCTTAAATTTGCCATTAAATATACGCTATACATTTTAAACATTACTATGATCCTTTGTGGGAACTCTGATGACTTAGTAGTAAATTGTGCTGCAAATCCAAAGACATATGGTTCAAATCTACCAGTTGTTCCACAGGAGAAAGATGGGCAAATCCCCTCCCATGTGATTTAATGTCTGTGAAAAGCTATGAGTCAGCCATGGTTGGTTCCAACTCAACAGTACATAACAATAACAATGGTTCTTTGAGCTACCATAACTGCTAAAGCAACATGTGTATTATATAAAAAGAAAACTCTGGTTTATAGTCCTCTAAATACCTGCTTTTCTTCATAGAGTCCAAATTCAAGCCTCATGTCATAATACTGAAAGATGCTATGGGCAATAAATTGAATGACTCAATAACAAGCATTGCTTAATAATTGGAACATGGAACGTATGTATCTTGAATGTTGGAAAACTGGAAATTGTTGACTTGCATTAGTAGGGTCTAATGTATAATCACAGAGAGTGGGGTGGAGCTCCTCGATTAAAATGGGCTTGGAAGGAGGAGTGGCACCCACTCCCATAATAGCTTGGCTCCAGAAACCTTATGAACCTGGAGAGAGGATGAAAGGCACCCAAGCGTCGAAGACTCTCCTTCTAGGGTCGCTATGAGTCGCCTGCGATTTGACGGCACTTAACAACAACAACAACAACAACATAAATATCTGAACTTCATCTTTAACCTTTTTAATGAAAATGAATAAATTACTTATTAGTTTAAAATTCTAAGGATTCTCTTTTAAAATCCTCTAGTTAGAAAATTAATTTTATTTAGCTACTTATTCAGTTAGTATAACAAATTAGAAGGGACACACTAATGACAATCATACCTACATTGATTATTGACACATTCAGGGAAATCATTAAAATAATATCACAAATGCATTTATAAAGTTACCAAAAAAAGTTTGAGAAGAAAATAAAGTATTTTTAAGGAGGAAACATTTTAATATTTTTAAAGTAAAACTGAAGGTCAATAAGGTCACAATTAGTAGCTCAAATATGTATGTTGTTGTTATCATTGTTGTTAATTGCTGTCGAGTGGAGCACAACTCATAGTGACCTTATGAATAACAGACCTGAACCCTGGTCTATAACTATTGTGTTTCTCAAAGTTCATAGTTTCCAGGAGCATGTTGTTTAGGAAGTGGAAGCCATTCCTGCTTCCAACAAAGATGTATGTATGTGTATAATTCAGTTAATAGAAAAAGTTATGTCTGATATCTTGAACTTTCTACTTACGGTTCTTTCCATTTTCTTGGCTAATTCTGATTCTTGTTTTCTAATTTATTCTCTAATATTACATCTTTTTCTTTCCAGCAGTTTTTTACATGCAGCCTTTGTACCAGTTAGGCATCTAAACTATACTCCCCAAAGCTATTATGGTAATTTTCAATATTGTGGCAATTTAACACTGATCCCTGATTACTGGCAGGATCTTGTCAAATATAATTAGAGCTCATCATAGTGGTTATTATATAATGTAATAAGCCACTGACAGACTATAACTCTTTGCATTTCATTTCAGGTGAAAAGTCAAATAACATGCTGCTTTTTGCTTACAGCAGTCTAAGCAAACTCTTTCTTAAGGAAAGGGTAAATGAAATAAGCTAGACAAAACAAGAATCCTGTATGCTAGAACCTTCTAAAAAAAATAAACTTGATTAATTAAAGAGAGAGAGGAACATTTACCTAAAAGCAAGCAAAAATATAAACAAAAAAAAATTGAAACAAAAAACCATAAACCAAACAAAATGCTTGTGATATAATTTATCCTATATCAAGGGTTTTTATATCAACTAATAGAGTTTTTTAATGCCAATAGATAAGGATGGAAAGATTATGGTTAGAAAAATAGTTTCTTGTGATCTTCCATATGTGTGCACAAAAGCACACTGGAAATAGTAATGTGAATGTAGGGCTTACGTCTACTCCTAAAGTGAACGAAAGTCTCCCATGAGATGATAATATCCTAAAAGTTAATTAAATTTTGCTTGCTTTATATTCAGTAAGCAAATTTCCATATCAAAGACCAATTTTCCAAGTAGATTTCTCCAACTAGGAAATATTCAAAATGGCGTGTCCTAAGCATGTTTTGTTAAATTATTATATTTCAGCTTATGTCCATTTCTAATTATCCTTAGTATATCAAAAGGTATAGTAGAAATCTGAGAAACAGTTTATCATTACTACTACACGTAACATGATTTAGCAAGTTACACTGTGCTATGTTTCAAACATCTCTGCATCATTTATCCCACATTAAAGATGGGCATGCTTTCATCTCACCTGAGCCCCTGCCAGAACGGCCCTCTCGTAAATGGCAATGATATTCTCAATAGGACTTGTGCGTGGTTCAAGACGTGCAAGGCACACCCAATACTTAATAAGCTTTGTGGCATCAGGAATATTTTTAACCAAGTCATTCACTGTGCTCATTATTTCTTCTTTGCGGCATCCCTAAAATAAAAAGAAACAAAGTGAGTGCTATTTTTAGTTTATAACCTATGAATAATTAGTAACAAAGATCAAGGAAATTGAAAAAGTTGATATAAAATATTTATAAAAGTGTTATCATTCTCCTTGCTCCAAACTTATTCTGAAAAGCTAACAAGAAGCCTATCAGTAATGAGCATTAGGCAGCAGAAAATGAAAGTCTAGATATGTGACGGGCACTCTGCTTGCTTTTAATATTTATTATCATACACTGTGGATTTCCACTGGTTAATTTACAACAGCAGGAAAAATACTTAGCATGTTTGAACAAATTATTAAGAAATAAAAACAAGGGTGCTCTGGTGGCCTAGTGGCAAGAACCTACACTGCAATCCCATAGGTAACTAGAATCCACCAGATGCTCAGCTGGAGAAGGAAGGGCAATCTCCTCCTGTACCAGTCAGATCAGATTTGATGGTACACACAAAAAAGAATAAATTTTTAAAAAAGAAATAGAAACAACAGAATTAAAATGAAAAATATTTGGGGGAGGGGAAGAAAATGTGCAACAATGGGACAAAAATGAAAATAAAAACAAAAAGTAAATTATTACCCACTGCAATCCTAGTCGTCTGTGTTAACACGTTGCCGCACACTTTTAATTGACGACCGTGCTTAGAAACACATTTTTACCGTCATTTGCAGCAACGTGGTACCCTGGAGAAACAGTGTATTGAAATACTGTATTTAAACTCAAAGAACCACACTAACGATTGCTTTGATATACTGACATGAATTGGGCAAAATGTCAGCAGGTAAAGGTTACATACACTCACTACTGTGAGTCTATTCCAGCTCTCTGTGACTCTGAGCAGAGCAGAATGGCCCCACACAGTTTTCACAGCTGTAAACTTTAAGGAAACACACTGCCCCGGTCTTTCCCAGAAGAGCAGTTGGTAAATTCAAACCCCTGACCTTTCAGTTGGCAGCTCAGTGCTTCACCACTGTGCCACCAGGGCTACTTCAAAAGTCAGCGTAACAATCCTTGACACAGCTTAGTTAAAACAAATTGGCAATGTAATGAGATCATTCACAAAGTGTAAGATGCTGCACAAACATAAGAAACTATACCTCAGTGATGAGGTTCAGGCATTCAGAGAAGGTCTTGTTCACTTTTTCAGTAAATAATCTTTGCTCGTCTTCCTCTGCCATGGAAGCCCAGAAGGACTTGAGCGGTTTTTCACTTTGCTCTTCAGGCTCAGGCTGGGGAGCTGCTGAGCTCGGCGATCTTTGCATTTTTGGTGTACTGCCTTTGCCAGCACTGTACTCGGCAAGACGAGCTCTACAGTTAAGAGACAGCACACAGACATCAGCATGGTATCATGAGGACAAAAGAGGGCCAGCGGAAACATGGCCCGCAGGTAAGGAATTTCATGGCAGTTCTCACATCTGAAGAAAATGAAACCCTGAACATAGTAAAGTCAATGGCGTGCTCAAAGACTCCAAGTATGCATTTTTAAATGAAGACTTTATATCTCCCAAGTCTTCTAAGGCATTTTAAAGTAGGTTATTTTAAAAGTTACTTAATAAAACACACTCAAATACAAGAAACTTTAGATACTATAGTTCCACAATATAAATTTACATTTTTTTTGTGTGTGTGTATCTGCTGTCTACATATCACAAAAGAGAAGAAATAACTGCCCTCGGCCCCCGGCTCGGGGCAAGCCGTCGCGGCCCTCTGCCCAGGGCAGGCTGTCCTCGGCCCCCAGCTCGGGGCGAGCCGTCGTGGCCCTCTACCCGGGGCGGGCTTCCCTCGGCTCCCAGCATGGGGCGATCCGTCACGGCCCTCTGCCCGGGGCGAACAGGTGAAGGAAATGATGAAGGTCCAGAGGGGACCAGATACTACAGAGGAATGACAAGCATTTTCCAATGGTAATTAAACCAACTGTCTTATTGATTTGGGGACAATGGCACAAACTGGGGACTGAGGAGCTCACCCGAGGGCCACGATGGCTCGCCGAGGGCCAAGGGCAGCCCGCCCCGGGCAGAGGGCCACGACGGCTCACCCTGTGCCGGGAGCCGAGGGCAGCCCGCCCCGGGCAGAGGGCCGTGACGGATCGCCCCGGGCAGAGGGCCACGACGGATCACCGGCTTTCAGGTTTACTGGGGGGGAGGGTGGCAGAAGGTGGCCTAGGTAACACTGGATACCCTAGGCATTCTGGGTGGGGAAGGAGAAAAAAAAGAATGCCTAGGGTATCCAATGTTACCTAGGCAACCTTTTGCCACCCTCCCCCCCACCCCCCCCAGTAAACCTGAAAGCAACACCCTCAAAGCCTTTCTATTTGTAACTCACAAGTTTGTTCTCTCTAGGTTTGCTCCCTTTCCTATAGGTAACCTTAACTCTGAGTTTTACTCCAGAATTGACCCTGAACCCAGTGCCAGTGACAAAAAGGAAATACAACTGACAGCTAAGGAAGCAAAGGAGGATGGAGCCTCTGGGTTCAACCAGCCATCCCCACTGGACCCACCTGGGAAAACACTTTGCAGTCCAGAGGGGAGCAAATGACAGGAAAGTATCTTCTAACAGAGCAAGAAGGCAAGCAGCTTTAACCCAAGACCACCAGTAAGGTGATAAAGCGTCCTCCATTCCCCCCTTTACATCTACGCCCCTGTTCAGCATGAAGAAGCCAGAGTCGGCATCCAATTCCCAAATCAATAAGACAGTGGGTTTAATTACCATTGGAAAATGCTTGTCATTCCTCTGTAGTATCTGGTCCCCTCTGGACCTTCATCATGTCCTTCACCTGCTCCCCCCACCAACCAAGCTGTGCAGTTCTGCAACTGCATCCCTGCCCATCCTCACCTTTCTGCCCCCAACCCTCACCTCCTTGTACCCCCAATATGCCCCAATATGTTTTTCCCAATAAAAAAAAAGAGAGTAAGAAAATTCTAATACACAGAAACAAGAAACCAAATTCACCCAACAGTAACTGTAAAGGATAGTAATGAAATGAAGAAAATGGCATCTACTCACATTCTCTGTTCTACAGTCTCTTTGGACTGGATGGCTTTAAGGCTGATGTTTGCCTTTACTAGAGTTTTTCTTCTCTGGTCAATGGCTTTCGACTTTCCTATCGGCTGGAAACTGGAAGATGAAGCAGGTCGGGGAACAGTGCCAAATGCTAAGCTTTTTGATCGCGCCTCATTTCTTTTTAAGTCCGCAGGGTTGGTCTTAGCAGTAGATAAAGCTGTTTTCAGTGGAAGGAATTCTTTCTCACGGGCCCCCTTCCGAACGGTAACATGGGCGGAGGTCCTGTTGACACCTTGCTTCACCTGGTCCTGTGAGCTGCTGGCCTGGCTCCTGATAGGAGGTCGCACAAGCTGTCTCTTGTGAGAGGCGGTGTTCCCGTTCTCTGTGGCAGAAGTCACCTCCGAGGCTCTGGCCCTGCTCACCGTCACACGGCTGCTGTGCACAGGCTGCGGCTTGCAGGTGCTGGAGACAGTGCCTGCAAGTTTCTTGTTTGCTACAGAACTTTCATCTTTGACTTGTAGAGGTTTTCTGAAGGAACTGACTTTAGACTCAACAACTTTCCCACGATACAATCCAAGCACAGGTTTCTTGGGCATTGAAACATCTTGCTTGAGCTTTTCTGTGGACATTAGCTTCTCTTTATTATTTTTTTTAAAGTCAAATGTCTGGTTAAGCGACCTATGTTGGATTTGGTGATCATCTTTAGTTAGTAAAACTGAAAGAGGCCGTTTATTATCCTCACATTTGCGTGTGTCAGCGGCGGTTGCTGAATTGACTGATTTATTCAGCTTTAAGGGAACACAGTTTTTTCGTATCATTGCATTGTTTTTGCTTTGTGTCCGTCTGCTGGCATTTTCTTTATCAGCCTGAAATAGTTAAGAAAAAAAAATTCAATATTTCAAAACACTTATATTTCAGAAGAAACTTTAAGAAAGGGAATAAAAAATGGACTGTTTATAAATAACCTGTCACATCTTACCATTTTTGGGTTTTGTTTCAGAATGCTTGTTTCTTCTTGGATCTTGTCCTCAGACGACAGCATCACTCTCTTATCTCCACTACCCAAAAAGAGGAAAGAGATTTAAAATACAGATGTAACATTCCTATACCAAGGAGGTCAATTTTTTTTGTGTGTGTGTGTACCATCAAATTGGATCTGACTGGTACAGGAGATTGCCCCTCCTTCTCCAGGAGAGGATCTGGTGGATTTGAACCCATGCCTTCGGGACTGCAGTGCAGCTTCTTGCCACTAGGCCACCAGAGCTCCCTAAGGAGGTCACTTTTAAGGGTAAAGATGGAGGGAGACTAATAGTCAACTCTGATTTCACAACTTAAAATTTACATGCAGGCAAAAATTGAGCAATATTTTTGTATCCTTGTATTTCTTACCCATCTCTATCACACTATGAAAACCATCTGCCTCCATTGCCACAGTCACAGGATCAAGCCATCTCATCAGGCTCTTCCTCTCCTGCGCTGTGCTTTTCTAGGGCTACAGTTCCCACTCTGCTCTCCAGTTCACTCTTCCTACCTTCACGAGCTTTGCTCCTGTGACTCACCCTTCTGCACCATGAACTTGCTCAATACAGGGTCTCATCCTCACATAAGCACTGTGTTTACCTCTCCTCTTAAAAAGCCTTAACACTCACAATCTCTTTAGCTACAGCCCGATCTCTGATTTCCTTTATAAGAAAACTTCCCTCAAACAGATTTCTAGACTTACATTTTCCATACTGTCACCTTCCTCAGCCCATGGTAGACCAAAGAATCTTCCCCACCCTCCTACCAACACTGCTAACGCCATCACTTCCACGTTTGCACACCCACAGTTCACTCTCAGTGTGCACCTTCCTGGACTTCTTTAAGAGGCTGATACAGCAAATTACTCATGTAAAGTTAAAAACTAAAACACACTTATTTCAATTGGAAACAAAGTAAATGTAGAGTTGCAAAAAATAAAAATTGTTATCTATGTATGTTTTAGGGAGCTCTGGTATCCTAGTGGTAAAAGTCTACACTGCAATCTTAGGCGGTCTGAATCCACCAGTTGCTCTGTAGGAGAAAAATGGGCAATCTTTCTTCCAATATGCTCCCTCTGAAAAGCTCCTGGAGGGTCAGCTATGGGTCAGTTCCGACTTGACGGTCAAAGAACAACAACATAAATGTTTTACCCAGATTCACCTTTGGTTCACTTTGACCCTACCTGCATTATTTCTCTCTTTATGATCACATGTGTGTGATGGATATGCAATTTTTTCCTATAAGATATAAGAAAGGACATACATATGGACCTTTTTCCCTAAATACCAAATGTGTTTTTCCTAAAAATGGGTATATTTTCTTACCTAATCTAGCGCATAATTATCTAATTACTTTGGTATAAGATTTAACCCTAATGCCCACTGTCTAGCTGTCAAATGACATAATAATTTAGAACATTTTTCTTCCATTATGTTGTTGTTATAGCCCATTGACAGAAGTGACTCATAGCTGACCTCTAGCAGGTTTTCATGGGCTCTCCACTGCCTGGGAAGAGTGCCCATCTTTCTCCTATGGAGCAGCTGGTGGATTCAAATCGCCTGTCTCTGGGATGTCAGCACAACTCCAGGCTAGAAGGCCCCCAGAGCGTCCCACTACCCAGTACAGGATCAAATACTGCATTTAATAGTTATGTCTCGTTTTTAAAAAAGAAAGATCTCAACTAATAGCAACTCTATCTGACAGAGTGTGACTGCCTCACCGTGTTTAGGCTATAGGTCTCTATGAAAGCCAACTCCCACATCTTACTCCCAAGGAACGTTTGGTTAACCTATCCTGCCAAACACTAAGTTAGCAACCTAAACCTTAACTAGCACTCCAACAGCTTCATTTTCAACCTGAGACATTTCAGAGTCCTTTCCAATTCCATTTTTAAATTTGCTCCATGCTGCTTAAATCCATCACCAAGTCCTTTCAATTCCATCTTCTAAATAGAAATTAAATCTGACTCCTTTCCTACACAAGGAAGAGGCATTCATAAAGACAAAATACAACAATAAATAGTAGTAAGAAACCACACAGAAATCATAAAGGATCTGCCACTTTGGTTCCATAGTTGCTCTGTGGGAGAAGGACAGGCAACCTCCTCCAGGGCAGTTTATTGCTTCTGAAAACCCACTGGAGGGTCTGACTTGATGGCAAGCAATAACAATATAAAGAGCTATGAGTCGGTTTGACTCAACAACAAAGTTAATATAAAGACATGAAAATTAATGCAATTCACTTTCTTTCTAACCCAAGAGTATGGCAATGATGTTGGAAGAAAATACGAAGAACTAGTCTAGTCCACTTTGTGTAATGCTACTGGTTTCATGAAACAGTAGGGCAACTTTTTAGGATCTCGTTACGCACTGTGGGAACACTGGTGGCCTAGTGATAAGAAGCTGAGCTGCAATCCTAAAGGCAGAGTGTTTGAATCCCCCAGCTGCTCTGCAGGAGGACAGGCAATCTCCTCCTCTGTGATTTACTGTCTGAAACCCGCTGGAAGGTCAGTTGTGAGCTGGCTCTAACACTATGAAATGCAACAAGAGCATTATATACTCAATTCATTGTCATCAAGTCGGAATCCCCAAATCATAGCTGACACTCTCCACTGGGTTTCACAGACTGTAAATCCCACAGGAGGAAATTATCCATCTTTTTCCTGAGGAGAACAACTTTCCTGTGGATTAAAATCATCAGAGAGCTTTGGTCTTTGAGTCATCAGAACAACTCCCTACAGACTATGTCACCAGAATATAGCACAATGCACTCAGAAATGCCTTTAATTCCCAAGAATTATGTAATACAATACGATTTTAATATAAGTAAACAGACTCAGTCAAGTAACTTGCCGAAGATAACATAGCTTTAAGTGGCCACTTCACAGATTCTATTCCAGATCTTTTTTTTTAATTTAATTTTATTATTTTGTTGTTGTGTGTACCATCAAATCAGATCTGACTGGTTACAGGAGGTGATTACTCCTCCTTTTCCAGCAGAGCATCTGGTGGATCTGAACTGCACATTTCTGGGATTGCAGTGCAGCTTCTTGCCACTAGGCCACCAGAACTCCCTTTTCCCAGATCCTTATTATGCCAAAGACTTAAATGGCAAGAAATTGAGTTGCAGGATGTTATTAGAGGTTATTTTTAGAAAGTGAAGGGTACTTTTATGTCTTTATATATTACATATTTGTCTTGGTTTTATTTGGTTTTGCAACAACAAAATGTCAAAACATAAGAGGGACACCTCACCTCTTTCAAAATAAATTTCCCACATATACTATATCTGTCAATTTGCTGGACTGTGGTGGTTTGCATGTTGCTCTGGTGCTGGAAGCTATGCAGCTGGTATTACAAATACCAGGAGGGTCATTCATGGTTGACAAGTTTCAACAGTTTCCAAACTAAGGAAAAGAAGCAGAACGGAAATACTTCTCAAATAATGGACCCTTCAACACTCTCTGAATAGCAGCAGAACATTGTCTGATATAAGTGCAAGAGGAGGCTCTCAGGTAAGAAGGTTCTCAAAATTCATCTGGAGAAGAGACCTGGATGGTGCTAAGCTTCCATCCAATGAAATGCCTTCAATTTGCTCATGTGGCAAGACTCAAAATGAGGAGGAACGGCAGAAAACATTCATCAATAATCAGAATGTGGAATGCACACTAATGAATCTAGGAAAATCTGAAATCACCAAAAATTAAATACAAAACATAAAGATCAACACCCTAGGCATTAGTAAGCTGAACAGGCTGTTTTGAATGAAATAATGCCAGGATGGCAAATTTTAGAATAGTGTCACTGTCATCATAAAGAATAATATTTCAAGATTTGTCCTGAAGTACACTGATACCAGTAATGAAATAATATCTATACTGATACAAGAAAGGTCTGGTTTTTTGTTTAAGAAAGGTCTGTTAATCTATCAACTATATGTATTAACCACTTAAGTCTAAAATGGAAAATTTAAACACTTCTACCAATCTTTGATTTCTTCCAAAAGCTGGTGTTTCCTATTGCACTTAAAAGTTGAACAATTAGTAAAGAAGATAAAAAAAGAATGACTGTCTTTGAAATTCAATACTCTTCTCTAACACTACAACTCAAAGGTATTAATTTTCCTTCTATCATCCCTAGTCATTGTCCAGCTTTCTGATGCATAGCAAGTAATTGCAAAGATTATTGCATGGATCAAATGCACCTTAGTCTCTATACTGACGTCACTGCTCTTGAGTACTCTGGAGAGATCCCTGACAGCTGACTTTCCCAATGCAATTCATATTTTAATGGCATTTAACAACAATAACAATTTTTTAGTCTGAAATTGCTCAAAACTGTAATCAAGGTGCACCATAATAAATGCTGACCTAATGCAAAACTTCTAAACAAAGGACTGTATTATGTGCCACCAAGTCAGAACTAACTCATAGCTAAGGCTGTAAATCACACAGGAGATTGTTCGTTTCTCTTCTGCAAAGAAGCGGATTTAAACCATCTACCTTTAAATTGGGACCTCTCTAAGGTACTCAGGAGCAACAGTGTCTCTCTGGAGACTAAGGTGCACCTGATACAGGCCATGGTATTTGCAATCGCTTGTTATGCATCAGAGAGTTGGACAATGACTAGGGAGGACAGAAGGAGAGTGGATGCTTTTGAGCTGTGGTGCTGGAGAAGGGTACTGAATGTACCATGGACTGCCAGGAAAACAAACAGATTCATCTTGGAGAGGATTAAACCAAGCTGCTCCTTGGAGGCAAGGATTTTGGGGCTTCGTCTGACATACTGTGGACATGTTGCCAGGAGGGACGGGTCCTTGGAGAGGGACATCATGCTTGGGAGGGTGGAGGGACAGCGCAGGAGGGGAAGACCCTCTATGAGATGGACTGATTCAGTGACTGGGGTAACCGGGATGGGCGTGTCAGAGGCGGTGCGGTTGGCGCAGGATAGAGCAGGGTTTAGGGCTGTTGTGCATAGGGTCGCTATGAGTCGGAAACGACTCGACGGCACATAACAACAACAA